GTAACACTACAGTGGACAAGTCTGTCTGCAGTGGAGGTAAGGAGGACGGTTAGCACATACAATTTCACATCAGATGCTTTTGTCATAAACAGTTATTAAATGTTTCTGTTTTGTGTTGTTTGTCGTTTAATCCTCAAACTACGACCTATCCTGTGCAAGGCTAAGTGAATGAATGAGAATGCCCACACATCAATACTTTATGTCCCAAGTGTTCAAGAAACCAAATACATACAGTACTTCTCCTGGTAATCAGTGGTGAGCTAAGTGTACATGATCAGAAACACTATGTATTTGCATACAACACATTGAATTTTTTTAAACAGATTTAGGTTCAAACCATGAAATACATGGAGATAACATAAATACAGCCTCATGTAAGGTGGTATGAGTACATGAGACTGCAAAATGCTCTGTTGATGACAAATTAACTATAGCAGAAGAATGGAAGATGTATGGAAGAATCAGGTTTTCTTTAATTTCTTTTGAGAAGTATATTAGGAATATTACCACAGCTCTCAGCAGAGGGGGTACCTCTGATGGTGTTTCAATTCAATATCTATTTCTAATCTCCCATTGATTGACGCCTGCATGACTCACTGGTTCATACACAGAAGAAGAAGATGTACATAGGAATATTAGACTGATGCTTGGTCTCTGAAAGTATATAATTTTGATTGAAACAAGTTAAACATTTAAATTGAAAAGGAGCCCCAGTGAGATGGGAGTTGAACCTGTGCAAAATCTAGACTTGCTTAATTTCGGGATATAGCAATACACTTAGGGCTGGGCCGAAGGGGAAATAATATGACATACTAATAGACAGACTAATGGTAATGTATTTATGATGAATTCCCTATGTTCTCTCCTCAATACAACACCTCTGAAATCATGAAAAGTTAATGCGTAATAACATCATTGAAAGATGATGCAAAAGTCAAATTTTAGAAATTATCCATAGCAGCGGAAATATTCTAGATTTCAATGTCAGAAGTAGTTTTCAATTATATATTGGACAACATGTTACTGAGAAGAAATTCTCGATTGGTGAAGTACTTGTTCACAAAGGTAACGTTACACATTAGCAACATACTCTCATCATGTATCCATCCATCACATACTATATTCCACAGGACTAGTTACAGATGAGTCAAACATATTGACTCACTGTAATGACCTATGGCTGCATCAAGACGGTGTGTAGGCATTACATGATATTTAGTTCTGATTACTGATGACTATTGGGAAATTCAGGGAAATACTAGCAGGCCAGACATCAGCCATGTAATGACTGGATGACAGGCACAGGAGACTCCATGCTGTAAACTTGGTCAATTATTAAAGGCAAAATGGGCTGCTTCACATTTGCTTTTTACTTTGATGAATGTTTTGCTTGTTTGTTTCTGGTTTAATGCTGCACTCAGCAATATTCCTGAGGCCACTATCAACCAAGTCACCAACCTCGACCATCTGATCTATTTAGTCGCCTACTCTTCACACCAGCATTGGTGCTTGTTTGTTTTCTCAATCCATGCAAATATTTTACATTTTGTAATACAAACTGAAGTAAACACACAAAAAAAACAGAAAATATGAAGAAGGTGGGGAATGTCCACAACATATTACTAACACCATTAACACACATTAATGGGGATGTTTATGGCCAGCAACACAAATATGATCCAACAATTTGAAAGATGAGAGGAGTCAAACATATTGAAAACTTATTTAGGATTCGAGTCCAGAGATGAAAAAGGAAAACTCAGCCGTTACACAGGCAATGTGCACTACTACATGTGATTGCTGTTGGATGCAATTAAGTCTGATGCACAGATACTGCTGAGAAGAGCAATCATCGGAGCCTAGGCAGGGTAGAATGCTAAAACCTTTCTGTTAGAAGCCAACTCTGAGGTGAGATGGTCAAATTATTGACTAATACAGATCTAACAAGAAGCAAAGTATTGATTAGTGTGTGAAGAAGGTCCAGTTTTTGTGCCTGTCCAATGGTATCAGTCCCCCTTGTGGAGTGGGGGAAGCCCTTACATGCTCAAATTGGATCACTACAGATGCTACAAGCTACAAGAAGCCTGTCATATTTGATTCGACAACAACTATCTTTTAGTTTGACCTGAGGCTCTAATGATAATGAAACAAGACAGAAACCACTGGCAGGGGTCATTGTCTGGACACGATAGTTCTAAGGCACAAATAGTGAAAACATTTCCCATTGTGGAACCAAGGATGATTATAAGAAGCTGGAGGAACACTTATACCTAAGCTATCAGTTTTACTATTACCTGGGAAAACAATAAATGAAGGGCAGTTGAATAAAAAAATCCAAAATAAATGGAACCGTTTACACCCTGAAACATAATGTTGACATGAGTGAGTGAATTTGTGGTCAAAGCTGTTTTGAATGATATTGACAATTGGGGTGAAATTTGGATTAACTAATACAACCACACATCTGCCTCTTCTATGAACAGTTTGACATCGAAAGCATGCGGTTTCTGGGCTTCTCTCGTGGCAGCAGCCGCACTATCAAAGTCGAATACACTCATCCTAACATTCATGTATCAGCCTGTATGTAGATCTTACTCACATGCAGCGCCCCTCAGCGATTTATTCAATTTTTCCATACCTCTCGTTGCCATGATTAAATCTTGCCGCCACTGTATGCTTGCGAGCCACCGGATATGGAAGTACACTAAACTAAAAGCCGGACAATACTGTCCAAGGGGAGGTAACTCCTACCGTTTAAATTCTTTTCACTCTGGAAAAACCCATTGACAATCGGGGTGAAATGTGGGTTAACTAATATAACCACCAGATCTGGCAGCGGCATGTTATCTTGAACTCAGGAAGAACTCTGGATTGAGTGAGTGAGTTTGTCCTGCCATGAAAACAAATAATGTGTATGATAAATTATCCCTAATGCTTCCTGGTTTTCTGGTTAGCTGTAGATCTGAAGTTATATATATGTATACTTTACAAAAGAAGTTAAGGACCCACATGATTCTTTCATATTACTATAATTAATCTGTCATGCCATATCAGATTAACTACAGTAACATGAAAGAATCAGATGGTTCTGAACTTCTTTTGAGTAGTACAGTATTTTCCTGAACATTTGATCTATACTGAATCTGAACAGCAACCTGTGATCTTCATCTACGAGAGCTTGCCACCATTTCACTCAAGGCTGTGATCAGGATCTCCATATTTATTTTTTAATCCACATAAACTGCTATCCATGATCTGGCCTACCAGAATCTGTGTGTCTTGTCTCTGATCATGGAAAAGTCATAGCACAGGAGCCTACGACAGTGAGGGAGTCATTTGTTACAGCGGTGGTAGGCTTGAATTTTTCATTCATGAGTGGACCGCCCCCGTGATCTAGTGGTAGAGCGTCCGACCGGAGAGCGGAAGGTCCGGGGTTCGATCCCCGGCCGCGTCATACCAAGAGACGTTAAAAGATGGTACTTGTTGTTACCCTGTCTGGCGCTCAGCATTAAGGGGCTAAAACAAGGACTGGTCGGCTCGGAGTCAGTATACTGTGTCTGAGTGGGGTATTCATGTTAAACTGCGGCATGGTATCTCAGTGAGCTAGCACTATAAATCGGCATCAGTCCAGACTAGTACAAGCAGCCACACACGCCACACGCTATATAAGTGCAATAATCTTGGACGCGACGTTAAATCCAATTTCACCTCACCTCATTCATGAGTGTCCAAATTCATGCCATTGTTTTTGCAACCCTCACCAGGCAATTGCTCACTTTTCTCTGTGACTATCACAGAGGATACATAGAGATCATTAGCCGACCATTAGAGACCATTAGTTTTGTATCATAAATATCATATATTAGGTATAAAATTTGTATTAGATGAGCCTTTGGCAAGCGTAATACATATTTTCTGTTCTTATATATTATACAGAAGCACATAAGGGTAATAATATCTTTTTCCATAAAATAATTGAAGTTTATGACATATTGTTATTCACTATTGTAACTGTACCGCCCCTTTTATGATATAGTGCTGAATGATTTGCAGCCATGGCTGTTTACATAAGCTGTAACACATCAGGAATGTAACTATCTAATCATTTCGGAAAAGTAATGCAATAGATTTTGGAGGAAGTAAACCCGACATCTATGTACAGAGCGTACTAAAAGTCATTCCTGCTAAATATTTGTATATTTATTGGATTGTGATACCATGTTCATCAAACTGGTTTATTGCATCAAGTATCAAACTGACCATTATATGATTAACTGTTTCCCAATTAGGGACTTGTCATATATACTGAACAAAACAAGTTCAGGATCATGACTATGTGCGCTGGGTCTATACTACATACATATATCCCTGATAACTTTTGTTCAGTATATTACAGGGATGGTGTGCTTCAATTTTTTATACATGGGTGCACAAATTGTTTGGAACACTTTTCTTCACATTTCCAACTGTCAGTGTGCCAGGTATTTGGCCATTTTGTCTATGAAAAAGAATTCTTACGCACCACACATAAGAGCACATGCATGTATCATGATATGTATCGGATGATGAGCAAGGTATTATGATACATATCAGCCCTATTAATTAAATTGATTAAGTAATGGTTTGTCTAAAATAAAAACAAAGAGTAATCTCTTGTTTTCTCTGTTATAGTACAATGAGAATAAATTCATGCCACTTTAGTCAGAAAAATATATCTTTTGATATGTATCATATCCTGAACAAATTGTAAACAATAGTATCAAGATACATATATTTATGACACTGCTGATATATACTCATGTACTCTTGTCACAAATTTCATACGGCATAATGACACGATCCTTGTTGGCATCTAAAGAATTCACTACTAGGACAAAGTTAATGTCTCCCTGACAACATGGTGCACTGCCCAGACACAATGGCAATGGAAAGAAGAACTGGTGTATCCACTTGTCACACAAGAGCTGTTGTATACAACAAACACATCTATTTTCACTTACCTTTTTCCTGCTGCAGTAAATCTGCCATTTCTTCTCAGGCGGGAGATTGTACATGGCATCTCGATGAGCCTTGTCCAGATCCAATTCCGCCTGCAAGATGATAGGTGAGAGTTATCTCCTCTCATTTTGAAGTTATTCTGATTTGTGTTCCAAGTTCATTAGAATCAAGTCTTTTAATCTGATACAATATCTGCGTGTGTGAGGATCTGAGTATCAATAGGGTTCGTGTCAGGTGAGCTTTCTAATTAGCGAAACACACTGTCTGGGTTTCTAAATTCTCGGTATGAGTGAGTAAAGCATAACGACTATTTCCAATTGTATTATGTAAAGGATTAATGCTACGCCATTATGATAGTGTGAATATTTAATACATCCTGTCACTTCTGAATGCCATGGCATCTACACCCAAAAGGGAATACCATCAAAGGATAGTGTGTTCTGTGGGGTCTCTTTTGTACAAATCGAAAAAATCTGACTCACGGTGTTAAAAGCTGAATCATTTTAGGAGGATGACATCTGATTGCAACAAGAACAAAGCTTCATTTAAATTGGGGGGTTTGCTCCTAACTCTCATCTGTTTAGACTGACATAAACAAATGACTGAAATATAGTTATGTCAAAGGAATAATGAAATAAGGAAACCTAGAGTCTCTTATTATAGAGCTGATAAGGAGAGCAGAATGGAAATAATGGCTCAAATATTTGATATTATCTGTGCTAGGTACTATAAGCATGCATCAAACCATATCATAATGGATATAAATTTATATTCACAAACAATATAACAACAAAGCTTCCATTGCAGTAGATGTTGATATTGTTCAAAATGTGATTATTTTAATGTTCTTATTTTCATAAATTTTCATTTACTGCAGATATGGGCCTCTCAGCAGGTCGCAATGCTGACTTGGCAATAATTCATGCAATCAGGTTACAAGAGGTTGGTGCTTGACACTCACCACAAGTTCCTCAAATTTGGCATTAAGTTCGGCTTCATCTGTTGGCATGGGTATATCCAGAGCAAGGGGTTTGGGGGGAGAGTCATAGTCCACACACTTGATCTCTGGGGGTCGGCTTCCCCCCAGACACCAACAGATCCCCTGTTTACCTGGCATCGTCTCTCCTTACCTGGGACTCAGCTGCAACAGCAAACAACATCAACTCAAACACTGAATAACAACATTAAGATCTACAACTACTGCCAGTTCTGCTGCTTCTATACAACAGCCAATGTTGTGACAATGCTACAACTTGCAATTTTATTTTGATAATGTTTCAAATGGTATTTTAAATGATAAAGTGCTATAAGTGGAGACAATGTTCTAGGTATGCTTCAGGTATTGATGCAAAAGTGCTACAAGGGAGGCACTGTTCTCTTAATGCTTCAGATATTTATATGCTAAAGTGCTTACAAGTGAGACTGTTCTAGTAATGCTTCAGATATTTATAAGCTAAAGTGCTACAAGAGAGACTGTTCTCGTAATGCTTCAGATATTTATATGCTAAAGTGTTTACAAGAGAGACTGTTCTAGTAATGCTTCAGATATTTATATGCTAAAGTGTTTACAAGAGAGACTGTTCTAGTAATGCTTCAGATATTTATATGCTAAAGTGCTACAAGAGAGACTGTTCACGTAATGCTTCAGATATTTATATGGTAAAGTGCTACAAGGGAGGTACTCTTAATGCTTCAGATATGTATAAGCTTAAGTGCTTACAAGTGAGACTGTTCTCGTAATGCTTCAGATATTTATAAGCTAAAGTGCTTACAAGTGAGACTGTTCTAGTAATGCTTCAGATATTTATATGCTAAAGTGCTACAAGGGAGACTGTTCTCTTAATGCTTCAGATATTTATAAGCTAAAGTGCTTACAAGTGAGACTGTTCTAGTAATGCTTCAGATATTTATAAGCTAAAGTGCTACAAGAGAGACTGTTCTCGTAATGCTTCAGATATTTATAAGCTAAAGTGCTTACAAGTGAGACTGTTCTAGTAATGCTTCAGATATTTATAAGCTAAAGTGCTACAAGAGAGACTGTTCCAGTAATGCTTCAGATATTTATAAGCTAAAGTGCTACAAGAGAGACTGTTCTCGTAATGCTTCAGATATTTATAAGCTAAAGTGCTTACAAGTGAGACTGTTCTCGTAATGCTTCAGATATTTATATGCTTAAGTGCTTACAAGTGAGACTGTTCTAGTAATGCTTCAGATATTTATATGCTAAAGTGCTACAAGAGAGACTGTTCTAGTAATGCTTCAGATATTTATAAGCTTAAGTGCATACAAGTGAGACTGTTCTCGTAATGCTTCAGATATTTATAAGCTAAAGTGCTACAAGAGAGACTGTTCTCGTAATGCTTCAGATATTTATATGCTAAAGTGCTACAAGAGAGACTGTTCTCGTCATTCTTCAGATATTTATATGCTAAAGTGCTACAAGAGAGACTGTTCTAGTAATGCTTCTGATATTTATAAGCTAAAGTGCTTACAAGTGAGACTGTTCTCGTAATGCTTCAGATATTTATATGCCAAAGTGCTTACAAGTGAGACTGTTCTCGTAATGCTTCAGATATTTATATGCTACAGTGCTACAAGGGATGGGGGGAGGGGGGTGTTACAAGTCTTTAGAATGTAATCTTAGGGTCCTTTACTCAGTAGTATTTTTTCTGCTTAGTCCATAAAACGCACACAAATCAAGGTCAAGCTGTGAAGTTGAATCTAAAATGCGAAATCAGTTCTATGGGTATGCAGATCATTAGTCTGACTGTAGCAAAACATGGGAGTCATCTGGTTCTGCTTTCATTCCATTGCTGCAATTAACTGCAAATACCAAGAATCGTGTTGTTAGATCTAGTTATATATAACTTTTACAAGATTTTAGCATGTTTACAATAAACGGTAAAGTTTTAATTTACACATATTTTTTTTAATGTTTCAATAGTTCTTAGTTGTTTCACACTAAACAGTAAATCCCATCAGGAACCTCATTAATTCCAACACCTCGTTTTCCAGTAGGGATGTGTGGTTTTTGTTCATCCAAAACCTGCAGCAGACAGCTCATGTTGTATTCCCCTCTGTGGAAGTGCAGCATTTTAACACAAATAACTGCTATGCTACTCCATTCGTTTTTGGCTTTGCACCATGGAGATTACAGGTTAGAAAAAGTCCTTTGTAACCAATGCTTGTTGTAAGAGGCAACCAAATGGAGCTGGTGGTCAGGCTTGGTGACTCACAACGATGATGTGGTACGTTGCTCATAATATCAATCACTGGTCTAGACTTATTTACAGGCCGCCACTATTTGGCTGGAATATTGCTGAGAACAGCATTAAAAACAAACAAACAAACAAACTCGACTCTCTTTGCTGTATATATGCTGTGTCAGTGAGCATAGTTCAGAAAGTATACTGACTTGGAGTGTTTCTTTATACAATGGAGGACAGATACCTCTGGAATAATGTCACTGATAAATATCTTAAAGTGTTTAATTTCTTTTGATTGTTTTCTTAAATGGAAAGTTGTTTCAGTATCAGAAATATATTAAAAAAATGTACAACATAATACCTCCTTTCAGCATTCTGTAGAGTTAATTTATTCAACGTAATTCTGAGCCTGAGGAACAACAACAACAAAGCCCCTTTCTTCCAAGGGCCATATAACATTGTGATATCCCATGGTGGCAGCCCAGTCAGGCTTGTCCACATCGGAAAGTCGATCCTGACAGAGGAAAATATGTATGGGCACACGCCAGTCATGGACAGTGGGTTTTTTAACACTCGTTTGACCTGTTTGTCAATAGGTCAGATACCTGGCGACGACTCAGGTGGAAACTCCTCACCCATTTCTGGTTGTGTACTTTATACAGGTGTGGGGAGGGTTTACTGGAAGCAGAGCTACAGACAAGCTGCATATTTGCATAAAAATACCCCCCAAAATATTTCAATTAATTTGCGTATAGAAACGCGTGCATTAAATGAAAAACACAAATGTATAAAACATATATATAAGTATGCAAATACCCAGTGAAGCTTTTTCAGCTTTTAGCAACAGAGCTAATTTACGAAACACAATTTACGAGTTAATTTACGTTCTGAGTTAAGCCTATATTAAGAACCTTTACATACATCTAAAACATTATTTCAGTGTGTTTTAAATCTCAAAATGTTTACTCATTTTGGGAAAAACCCAATAGAGTGATGAATAGGGGAGTGAAAAAATATTGGTTACCTAATGAAAAATGTAATAACCCAATAAAAAAAGAAACCTTTGAGAAAAAACTCAATTTCTCAAAAAGTTATCTGGAGCTCTGCTAGAACACTCTTGTACATAATAATAATACAAGTATAAAAATCATTATGTTCATCTGGCCTAATTGCAATATACAAACTGTATATATTTCCGATTATATGATATTTACTTAGTTCACATTTTGTATCAATTACATCTAGCAGATTCTTTTTTAATTGTACATGATTACAATTTAACATTCTGTGTTTGAATACATTTATTGGCAATGAATATATGAATTTGGAAATTGACCTTTTGATTCAGTTGATTATTACGCATATATCGTCATGTATAAAATATTTATGAGTGGAACATGGCCTTTTGATTTAGTGAATTATTTAACTTATATCACCATGAATTATTGATTGTCTTCCTATCAAAAGAACAGTGACAGTGATCTTTAAGATGACAAATTACAATATGGCAACAATTGTCATCTCAAAGATCACTGACCAACTTTATGTCTTATTTTTCAGATTTTCTTGAAAAGTCTTGTTTGCAAATATATTATACATGTTATAAAAAAACATCAAAATAATCATAAACCAAAATAATTTCTACTTCTATGAAATATTTGTATAGACTAAAAAAACAAGCAGCTTAACGGATCTCATCCAATTAAACAATAATATAAAAATAATCACACTTTAATCCAATGTGATAAAAGCACACACACATGATAAAGGTATCCTTCCCTTTCAACTCCCCATACAGAGGCAAGACAAATATTTACCCTCTGAACCATGGTGTCTTAAAGGAACTGCAGCATGCAATTGGCTGAAACTTGATGACTTTTTCTCGCAATGTACTTTGACAAGGGCAGGGGGAACTAGGTCATGAATGGCAAGTAGTGTGGCGCTACTTGAAGATTACACACATCAAACAGACATATGTTTTTTCAACTAGTCCATGCAATCCATTACACTGAAGAATTATTTTGGAATTACTGTTGGAATGGTTTTCCTATTAAAATGGAGATTGATTGATTCATGTGTGACAATGAATCATAATTAAAATAAAATTTGTGATTAAACTGTAACATGATTGTTAGGTTAACTTTTTTCAAGACCACAAGTTCTTATGATTCCATAATCAAATCCAGTAATTGCATTACGGTATCAGAACAACAATTAATACCAAATCCATACACACCAGAAGTTAAAGAACACCCGATTACTTTCTCAGGACTATAGTTTATCTGTCTTATGAAAAAATTGGGTTTTCTTTAAGTTATTTTGAGTAGTATAAATGCTCTGTTCACATAAAATCAAATCAAAGTTTAATCCATGACAGTATTTTTTGTCTGACCTATCTCTGAACATGTTTCAGTTGACATGCTACATGTAGATTAATGTCCAAATCTGATCTACTCCACATTGATAAAACCTACTTCAATACACTTCACCACAGTTTATCTGTTGCACTGAAACAATTGTGACTGGAGCACAAAAAAACAGGACATATCTACTTACTTGACCAGATTATACCCAACACAAGCACCTGCTTCATGAAGTGACCTCCAATTCTAAGTATGCACAGTCCCCCATAGAGCTATGTTGTCATTATGTAGCAATGTCATTCTATATAATGTTATCGCTGTATGTCATGTCATGTTGTAACTTCTGTCTGATGGTTTGTGTATGTCATAATTAACACAATGACACTGGAAATAACATGTGTTAACCCACCATACATAAAGTTTGGGAGGACTGGTGTCAGTCACTGTGTCTGTCTGCATGACTGACAGACTGACTTGTCTCTAAGCCTGTCTGTGGTTGCTCATTAGTTTGTGTATGTGTGTGTCTGTCAGTTGCTTATCTGCCTTACAATCTCTTGTATCCTTATCTATGG